AATATATCAGTGTTTATTTTAGAAATATTTTTGATGCTGCACATGATGATGAAGCAAATGATTTTGATTAATTGAATTCTTCAGCTCTTTTTGGGTTTGATTAATTAAGTCCGTTAAATCTAACTTCCTTTGTTTGAAAATTGTACTTGAACGTTTTCTCAAAAAAAAAAAATTTTGAACTTGAACGTTTAAACTTGGAGCATTATAGGCTTGGGGTAAGACCACCACATGGCCCAAGATAAAGTACAACCCAAATACTCTTTTGGTTTTTTATCTTGCAAATGGATTGGACTAGGCATATGGACTTAAGGCAGTGTTTTATTCCAATTTAACTAGTTCCTTCTTCGGGGCAGATGAGTGTGCAAATTTTGGAGCTAAAAATTGAGATGGAAGCTGGTTGGGTCAATCAAGAAAATCAAGGATTGATTCCCAGCAGTTCCAATAAACATGATCCTGGTGGTTTCTAGCTACTGAAATTCTGTTTCTGGTGGTTTCCGATAGCCAAAAAATATTGAACAATCCTTTGTTAGAGAGTGTAAAATAGACCTGAAGTACTATTTTAACTTCAACAATCCCCCTGATCGACCCATGTGGGATTCTAAAACGCAACTCTTTTATAAAAAAAAATTGACAAGCTAAATGACTCCTAAGTAGTTATCTTGCTTGCTTATATCCTATATAAGAAATGAAAACAAAGTGACACGAAAGGACAAAAAATCAATGTCTGAAGCACACTTCAAATTGATTCTAAAACTGTTAATATTGGACAAAAAAATCCGATGGTACTAGTTAGTTACGATATTCTACAAATCTAAACAGATGGTGTCATGGGTATGAATGAATCATACGAGGTAATGAAATTATCTCTGAGGATGTGTAAAACAATCAATCCCTCAGAACATATGGGGTTGAGTAAATATATATAAGATCTTTAATGGGCTGCCTGGCTTTGTTTTGAGAAAATTGATCCAAGCAGACTCTCAGATATTTGATCTTTATGCGCAAAACGGGTCACAACTGAATGAAGTCAGCAAACTAACTGGCTAATAATCCCGTTCTTTGTATGGCATTTACTGCAACAACAGTTTCAAGTCCATGGGAACCTTCTAAGATGCACGATTTTCTATATAGAAAAACAAAAAGCAACATTTTTTGCTCTCTCCCCCAAAACCGAGAAGTAAAATCCACACTTAAAAATAAAAACATTTTACAGAAAGACTAGTTTAGCAATTGTCATTTACTACAAGAACGAAGAAATAAGAGTTCTCTCCAAGTATTTTGACAGATAAAAGATTAAAAAATTACAAAGTAACGTAAGTGGGAAATGAACAAACAAGTTTACTACCAAATTCAATGCAATGTCAAAAGACTTACAGGTTGGTGACCTAGCATGTACACAACTTGCCTAGACTGCCCAAGAAATATTTGCTGCCCATACTGGAATTAGAAGAGTGCAGATATTTAATACAAGTCAAGATACCCAAAATAATGATAGCAAATTAAAGTCAGCATGCAATCAGGTTCTACCTAAGGTCCATTGGATGAAAATAGGCTTGTGGTGACTTCATTGGTGCCACCGTCTGATTAAATATAACAGGCTGGTGTGCAGCAAATGTGGTCCAATATCTGCAAATGCCATGTGTCAACAGTCGCCATAAGCAATTAGAAATGCAAGAACAGGACTCCAGATGATGCAAAATAAAATCTTGCATTTAGGAACATACACGTCTTTACTGTATTATCAATATATAAGAGTCTAATGGACCAGTTCAGCAGTGCACACATGTAACAGTATAAACACATATGAAAAGACGTTTTGTTCAACTTAAATGACAAACTTATCAAATTCAAGGGCCTTTCACATATATATTGTACTCTAGTACCTTATTTCTCATGGATATAAAATCTTTGCATATCACTCCACACAAATCGAGTCAACTCAACTCTATTCGCATATTCATATACATCAACAATATTGCAGAGTCAAGGTCCGGGCTCCAAAGCCATGGTGTATTACCACGTATTTCGACGGATCTATTTAAGACTATATGGAAAGGGTGCTATAAGCCTCCTAAACCGTTGGAAATAAACACACTGGACTGGCTACTCTATTAGCCCACAACATTAATTCAGTCTGAATGAAACAAGGGAGATTAATTTTTGCGAAATCAGGAAACCTAAGGGACACTAGAATCAATTCAAGAAAAAGAAGGACCAAAAGGGCAAATTTCCCTTTTGAAAATAAACAAGGTGGCTGCCTGGCATAGCTTAAAAGGAAAGCTACACCAGACAGCCCCTAAA